AGGTAAGTCCTACACAGAGCAACTCTCTTTGTGAGGTAAGTCCTACACAGAGTAGCTCTCTTTGTGAGGTAAGTCATACAGAGAGTAGCTCTCTTTGTGAGGTAAGTCCTACACAGAGTAGCTCTCTTTGTGAGGTAAGTCATACACAGAGTAGCTCTCTTTGTGAGGTAAGTCCTACTCAGAGCAACTCTCTTTGTGAGGTAAGTCCTACAGAGAGTAGATCTCTTTGTGAGGTAAGTCCTACACAGAGCAACTCTCTTTGTGATGTAAGTCCTACACAGAGCAGCTCTCTTTGTGAGGTAAGTCCTAAAACAGAGCAGCTTCTTTGTGAGGTAAAGTCCTACACAGAGCAACTCTCTTTGTGATGTAAGTCCTACACAGAGCAGCTCTCTTTGTGAGGTAAGTCCTACACAGAGCAGCTCTCTTTGTGAGGTAAGTCCTACACAGAGCAGCTCTCTTTGTGAGGTAAGTCCTACACAGAGCAGCTCTCTTTGTGAGGTAAGTCCTACACAGAGCAGCTCTCTTTATGAGGTAAGTCCTACACAGAGTGATTCTCTCTGTTAGGTAAGTCTACTGAAGAGAACCATATCATCTGTTGGTTGTACAACATAATACTCTTGAAACTATTTTCTTGTATAGGAATGAGGTCTGAGAATGTGTTCAACAGTTACAGAAATTACTGATGTGGGCGACATTGCCTTTACATATCATACATAGCTGTAGAAACTCCAGGAATCTGGTGTTATTTTTTTTCTCCTTGTGTCTTGTGTGTTACTGTAACACTTTTGTTATAATTATGAATGATAATAAAAAAAAACGTGTATAGGAAAATCACAATTAAAACAATACTATTTTATTTAAAAATGTATGATGTAAACGAAGGAAGGTGTAGTCACTGAGTGAACAGGTGTAATATACCGAACCCAAAGCTCAGAAGGCTACGGAGGGAGACTTCTTTGGAACGATGTTGTTAGGGGTTCAAGACACGATAACTTAATAATAGCAGAAGATTTTAATTTTAGTCAAATAGACTGGTCTTGTTTGGCAGGTAATCTTGAGTCCAGTGACTTTCTAGAAGTAGTTTAGGACTGCTTTCTGAAGCAATATGTAACAGAACCTATCAGAAGTCAAAATTTGCTAGACCTGGTGTTGTCTAACAAGAAAACTCTCGTAAATAATTAAGAAATCACTGGAGAGTTTCGTGCAAGTGACCTCAAGTCTATTTATTACCTTTAGTGTTACCTGGGAATACGAGAATAAGGGTAATACAGCAAAAAAACCATACCCCCGGCCGGGATTGAACCCGCGGTCATAGAGTCTCAAAACTCCAGCCCGTCGCGTTAGCCACTAGACCAGCAAAAGTTCCCGATTTTTGCTCTGCCGATTATAAAGGATTTAGGGAAAAACCTATCTAATTCTCGGGATAATCTAGCTAATAAATATACTGACCATCATAGTTACAATAATGAAAATATCTGCGACTATGGCTTTATTCTTAAAAATGTATAATGTGTCTACACTATATATATATTCCAAAGAAATAAAGTCAAATATAAATACACCTGTGGAGAACTGGTTACAGTATACTTTCCTGCATAAACCAAACATAACACAAATGTTACTTATCTTTTAACAACATGATGTCCAGCAGCCTCTCCCTGGAAATCTCTTTGGGGTGCCGTTCCAGATTCCACAGTGACTGTTGATTAACAGCGTGTTATTCATATAATTTGTCCCAAAGGAGTATATATCTCAGCATTTCACTATCATCTGGAATGCGTAGTGATACTTGGGTTAATCGCCCACATGTCACAGGATCTTTTGGTAATTCCAGTAAAATCTCACCTATACCTATTAGCTGCAGCTAACGTAATTATATGTGGGTATGCCTGATCTTACGTGGGTATTGTAACTAACCAAGTTTTCCCTAGTTTGTGGTAGGGAGAGTATATCCCGGTATCGTTGTCTTGAGTAGGCCGCTACAGATGTGTAGTTATGTCCTCACTCGTTGATAGGGAGTCACTTTGTTCATAACACATGAATGTGTACCACGACACAAACTTTACTCTTAACGGGATTATACCGCGGATGATACACTCGTGTTTCTTTTTAACACTAGTTTTCCTAGTGGAGATTGACAGTATTTCAGAGTTTACTGCACAAAGTCATTATTTTCTTTGTTCTTAGTGGGAGATTTGTAACGTGTGTGCACTCTCTCATGTCCAAATTCAATCTAGCTTATTGCCCTGCCCAAGCGCCCAACAGTCACCCTCTGCACAAAAGAACTGCTGAGTTCAGCTTTATATCTCTTTCATACTACACATTGCAACAATATTCAATACGAGAGTGTAGATTTCTTGTTATCTAGCTAAAGACTACATTTCCTAATAGTTCCAACTTACAGATAAAGTGGGACACAGGTTTCCCCTTAATTTTTCTGCTATGGAGAGAAGAGTAATTACTCTCGTTTAACCTCATCGTATAGTTGATCAGGAACTGTAGCAAGGAGAAGAAGGAGTGCCTCTTGACATTATGGTACATACATATGTTCCTCATAAAGCTGTTTGCGAGGAAGGAAGAGTCCACTAGCCTTTTCCGGGAGATGTCCTGGCATGAAGGAACACCTCCTTAGTTTCTCATTCTTCAAGGTAGGTCTTGGCTGTCATGGAGAAAGGAAATCTGAGGTTGGTATTATTTGAGAATTTACTAACAACGTTTCGCCCACCAAGCTCACAAACGTAGTCATTAAAGCGTTATATTATTCAGCATTTATATCTCTATCCATCGTCTCAACGCTTGGGTAGATGTGGATCTTTCTCTCAGAGGATAACTGGACCTTCATCTTAAAGTTTAATAACTCGCAACAAACACAATTTCCTCAGTGATTACATTCTTGATCTCCACAACCTTAAATAGCGAACCTCAAACATTTTTCTACAACAACCTGGACTTATCATGGAGAATGTGTAAATGACCTAAACAGTGCATCTGAAAAAACGTTCCTTCGAGGCACGACATTTGCAACGACCCGGACACCTACGACCCTCTGACAACTAAGTTGACACCATAACCAAAACTTTACTGCGCAAAACTCGTGACATAAAAAGTTCGGAAAAATGAAAGAAACTTCATCACACCTTCACCAGGAACCCCAAACGCTCCTGAATATATGGCCAGACCAAGAATGCAAACAAGGGATTCCAGTGAAGCCTATCTCATCTGGGAGAGGCAGCGCACCGTAGAAGCTATAAGGGATTCTAGGCAAACACCTAACAAAACTGAGACACATGTGCAACATTTGGGTATCTTTATTGTAGACGTTTCGCCATCCAGTGGCTTTATCAATACAAATTCCAGGACATAACTTGAAGACAGTAGAACTATGTACAGAAGATGAGGTAATCAGTCCCTCAACCTAGGAGTAGGTGCGAAGAGAACCGTAGTCGTGGAGATTCTGAAGTAGAAACAAGGAGCCTGACGGGTAGCAGACGAGGGCATAGTCACTGGTAGGCGGGATTCCCCAGTGGAAGTAGGTCCTTCCCAAAGAGATGAGCTAGTTGTAGTAGTAGTAGTCGTGAAGTTTATGTCCTCAGAATCAAGATTCCATGATGTTGCATGATCTTGTCAGTATTGTATACCATTCTTGTACAACTTGTCAGACACTGCAACATCATGGAATCTTGGTTCTGAGGACATATGCATAACCTTCACGACTACTACAGTTTTCAGAGTACACAATAGAGCTCAGCAGAATCACTGTACCTTCAGCTAGACTGTTTGCTGCCTCAGTCACCAGAAAATTATCCTGCTGATTTTGGTGATCAGTGTCAATAGGAACCTGTAAAGCAGCACAAGAAGAACATTGTGTCTCACGTGGGTCCACTAGAGACGCAAAGAGCAGTATTTTGATATTGGAAATTAGCAGTTCGTTGTATTTATGTATTTAGAAGAAGAAAAGGCATCTGACAGGGTACAGGACAGCGATGTGTCTAGAGATAAAAATATTCTGAATTGGAAGTAAGTTATGACTTAATTATAGGAAGAAAAATATATCTATACACGAAAATAATTAAGATTTCATTATATATTTACCGTGGCTAATTCTTATATTTGTTATGTAGGATTTAAAATAAATTCTCGGTGTATATACACTGATGTATATACCTCTATGAATATACGATATGTCTGCAAGCTACTGAAGGCTATTAAAAATTAAAGTTTTCCATACACCATTCTGTTTGTATCAATAATTTTGTAAACAAAGCCTCAGACTGGTGGGAATTATCTTCAGTATAGCAACATTTTTTTACTTGTTAAAACCCACTGAGGGTCGTACAGTCTGGAAATATTGTTTAATAAAACAGCCTCTAACATGCCAATGTTTTAATATATATCCTCCTGTATACGTTTTCCTAAGAAAACTCGCATTGTTATGTTATCTCTCTTGTTCTTGCTTGTTCGTGAATATTGTTCATGCGTGTAGTTTATGCATGAATGTCTTTCGTAGATTTTTAGGAGAATATTTTAACATAAAATTAACAATTACTGGTCATCCTGCTATAAATATTTCAAAAATTCCGTACATATGCACGGGACTGAATTACCATTAGATGAACCATACCACTGGTGGGGTTTGAACCCGCGACCAGAGATCTGGAGTTTTTAGACTATTTGATCGCGGGTTCAAACCCCACCTGTGGTACGGTTTGTTTGCAATCGTGCCATTACGATTTCGTGAGTCAAGTACCACTAGACTGTCAGTTGCCTCCTCGTGATCCCTGACCCACAAGAACCATCTCAACTCTCCTGGTTGAAACAGTTCACAACAACATTACAAATTCGCCACGAAAATAGACAGTATAATGTTGTGTTTCGTCATCTAGCTCAATAAAGTATTGTCTCCAGTTTGTGAATTTGATGTTAAACAGCTTGCTCAGACCTTAAGCATTTGTGGATGGTTCTCTTCATTAGTAATTGTTTACTTAATCTTCCTCCTGCAGGCGTTCCTGCTGCTGCAGGTATCGTGGATACGTCGGTGGGACTGGCACATTCTCACCACTGGCATCTACACTTACACTAGCGACATGCGCTTCAGCGTCCTTCACACTGAGGGTTCCGATGACTGGACACTGCAGATCAAGTATGCTCAAATCCGCGATAACGGAACCTATGAGTGTCAGGTATGTCTTGCAGTCTCTTACCTGCACGAGTCTGTGTCTGCACATGTACCGAGTTTCTTATGTCATGGTAATTTCTCCGGATTCGTTGCGTTTTTCACAAGTTCCATTGATGCCATAGTTGATAAAGATACTAACAGCTCTGCTTCCACGGCTGACTGCCTCCAGACCGTGTGTTACCTCCTCTGGAGACTAAGGGCGTTGCTGTATCTTCCCGAGTTATAATATTGCTTCCCTCAACAACAGCATCAGTAATAAAACCATACCCCGGCCGGGATTGAACCCGCGGTCAGAGAGTTTCAAAACTCCAGCCCGTCGCGTCAGTAATCACAAAATATAGTCAACTTTCTATTACAGATGTGCATCTCAAGGTTATTTAGGAGTTTTAATAACAATCTTAGATGAAAATACATGCGTAAAATATTTGATCTTAATATTATAGCATAAAAATAATTTTGTGTCTATATATACAAGGTATACATCCATTAGTTGATATCAATGACATACTACTATATAGAAAGCCCTTTGTTAAGCAGAGCATTTCGGGCAAATTAAGTCAGTTTTGTCCCAGGATGCGACCCACACCAGTCCACTAACACCCAGGTACCCTTTTTACTGATGGGTGAACGTAGACAACCGCTGTAAGGAAACACGTCCGATGTTTCCACCCCTTCTCTGGGAATCGAACCCGGACTCTCACCGTGTGAAGCGCGAGCTTTTGCCTCCAAGCCACGGGTCCTGGTGGTAGAGGTACGATTTCACGACAGCACTTACATTCTGAGATAGCAACAGTGGTCGTAATTACTGAAAACTTTCGCAGGATAAGTTAGATGCAGAAAATACATGTCACGGGTAGACACGTGAATATATTCTCACATTCATTACAGGATCACGACTATCAGGTTAATTAACCCTCCAATACTATACCATTTACTTCACGACAGGTGACAAACCCATCAGACAGGCATTAATTAAAGAAGCCTCTCACTCTTCGTAATAACTTCCCATAAGAATGATTTAACAGCTGAAATATATTCAAGACCTTTGTCATGTAATGTTGTAAGCGGAAAATATAAACACATTATCGACGGATCTATATCAGATCTTTATCGTGACTGAGACGATGACAATCCCAGAGTTATACATTACTTGCAAGCCTTACAATCATGATAATTAACAATATGTCGTGCCGAATAGGTAAATCTTGCGATTTTTGCTTAAATAGCAACGCTCTTCTTGCCGAATAAGGCAGGCAAAAATTGTGTATGTAGTAATTTCGCAAAAATCATTCTAAACTTAACGAAAGAAAAAAAATCATTGCGTTTATTATTAAATGACTGAAAACTTATCTAAAATATATTTAGTTGGTTTAGGCTTAATTAAATTACGATTGTTATAATAAGGTTAGGTCAGTTTTCTAAGGTTCTTTTGGCATAACTCGTAATTTTTACATTAACATAAATGAAAAATATTATCTTTAAACGTACATATATAAATATATAATAATATCAATAAATAAATATAAAATATATAATATATATATATATATATATATATAAAATATATATAAATATTAATAATATATAAATATATATTAAATATAATATAATATATATATATATATTTTTAATATATATATATATAAATAATATATATATATATATATAAAATTATTTATACATGTATGTGTGTGTTGTGTGTGTGACTTACCTAATTGTACTCACCAATCGTGGTTGCAGGGGTTTATTTCGCTCTGACCCCCCTCTTTGGATCGTACTAGGTCCTCTCTCCTCTACTCCTGAGTTTTGTCATACCTCGTCTTAAAGCTATGTATGGTTCCTGCCTCCACTACGTCATTTGCTAGACTCTTCCACTTCCTGACGTCTCTGTGACTGAATAAATACTTCCTAACATCCCTCTGACTCGTCTGAGTTTTTAGCTTTCAGTTGTGATCCTTGTTTCCGTGTCCCCTCTCTGGAACATCCTGTCTCTGTCCACCTTATCTATTCCACGCAGTATTTTGTATGTCGTTATCATGTCTCCCCTGCCCTCCTGTCCCCAGTGCGTCAGGCTTTCCCTAACCTTTTTTTTAGGACATTCCCGAGCTCCGGAACACTTTTTGGGGAAATTTTTGTGAGTGTGTGTGTGCGTGTGTATGTATATATAATTTAATATATATATATATATATTAATATATATTTTTAAATATTTAATATATTAATTATATATATATATATTTTATTATATAATATTTTAATATAATTTTAAAAAATTTTATATATATATAGACAGAAGATAGTTAAAATAGATGACAGAAAGATAGATAGATAGATAGATAGATGATAGATAATAGATAGATAATGATAGATAGATAGATGGGCGATAATAGATAATGTATGTGCAGGACAACCCAGGGGGGGTGTAAACTTTAGTCAATACTTTCAACTTCTCATTCGTCATCAGGAGCGGAATGTTGAAGGGGGCAACCCGGCAGGGGGAGAGGTTTCCGAGTACGTAGGTGTCACTGGGCCCCGGTAAACCCTGGCCAAATAAATTTTACTTGACAACACTGGAGGAAGGAGGGTAAAAATAGTTTATATAATATATATTATATATATATATTTATATATATTATATATATATATATATATTTATATTAATTATAATATATATATATACACGCACAAAAAACACCACACCAAACACAACAGCCCGGGGCCGGGCTAGTCTCAACCCCCTGCAACTAATTGGGAGTAACCCAAGTAAATTGACATTAAGTGATAAATGATATAAAAAAAGATCGTAATACAAAAAACGCCAAAAAACCTCCACCTCCGCAGTCCCCACTTCTCCCACATAAACTGCCGTCCCCACTCTCCCCCACTAATACTGCCAGTCCCACCTTTTCCCCCACTAATACTGCCGTCCCCCCCTCTCCCCGCACTAAACGCCAGTCCCCACCTCTCCCACACTAATACGCCAGTCCCCCCCTCTCCCAGCACTATACCCGTCCCCCTCCCCAGCACTAATACTGCCCTCCCCCCCCTCCCCCAGCCTAATATGCCCCCCACCTCTCCACACTAATTTCTGCCAGTCCCCCCCTCCCCACACAATACTGCCAGTCCCCACCCTCCCCGCACTAATACTGCCATCCCCCCCCTCTCCCCCACTAATACTGCCCGTCCCCACCCCTCCCCCATAATACTTTCAGTCCCCCCCCTCCCCCATAAATGCCTCCCCACCTCTCCCCCAATAAACTGCCCGTCCCCACCTCTCCCGCTGAACATCAAAATGGTAACTACCGACAGGTTGAGTAAGACAATAAGAAAATTTGGCAACTTTATTCCGAAAAAGTTTCGCCCCACACGTAGGCTTCTTCAGTCAATACGAAAGTAGGGAGGACACTAGAAAGAATTAATCTCCTACCTTTAAAATCGTAGAATTGAGGTTTTCAGTCCCTCGGGCCCGGAGAATTTAGTTCCTAGTCGGAATATCTGAAATCAAGTGACAGTGCGGAGCTTAAAACTGCGGAAGGAGAGGGAAAAGGTATAGTAGTAGTGAGAAGTAACCACGAAAGGTCAGGGCCCTCTCAGACCCCAAAAATTCTCACTTGAAAAGTTTTGCCAAGGTGTTTTCTTATCAAAAGGGTATGTTTGCGTGTCTGACAAGATATACATCAAAATGGGTTTCGATACCGACGGTTGGTAGGGAAACAATAAGAAAAAGTTAGGCAACTTTATTCCGAAACGTTTCGCCTCACAGTAGGTTTTTAAATCGAATCAGAAAGTAGGCAGGAACGTGAGAAGAAGGAATCAGTCCATCACCCCTTAAAAAATCTAGAATTTGAGGTTGTAGTCCCCCGGCCCCAAAGTTTTAGTTCCCCAGTCGGAACTATCTGAAAATCAAAGGGCAGTGCGGAGACTTAAAAACTGCGGAAGGGGGGGCAGGTGATGTAGTGAGAAAGTAACCACTGAAAGGTCAGGTCCCTCTCAACCAACAATTCCACTTTAAAAAATTTTTCCAAGGTTTTTCGTTCAAGAGCTATGGTTTTCAGTGTTGACAAATGAACATAAAATGGTATACATACGACAGGGTTTTAGGTAGACACATAAACAACTTTTGGCAACTTTTTTCCAAAAAATTTTCCCCTAACTGGCTTTTATCTACTACAACTGGGCGGTATCGTATACCAAATGTGTTTATTGTCAGCCCCCCAAAGTTTCTTATACGGGAAAAAAAAAACTGGGAAAATTTTAAAATGGAAAGGGATGAGGGGGTTTATTTAGGGGAAATTTCCCCCATGAAATCGCCCCTCTTCCAAAAAATTTTAAAAGTTTTCCCCCAAAGGGTTTTTGTTAAAGATGCTAATGTGTTAGGCAAAATGACATAAAATTTACAAACCCCAAGGGGGATGGAAATAAAAACGTTTCCTTTTTCCGCCCTCCCTTTCTTATCAAATGAAAGGGGCAGGGTGGGGAAAAGGGGTTTTCGAAATAAAGTGTAATTTGGGGTTTTTCTCCCTCCCTGGGAGATCATTAAGTAAAACTTTTAGAAAAATGAAAAAGGGACAAAAAACCCGGGGAAAAAGGGCAATTTTAGTGGAGAAGTGGAATGAGGGGGACCAAAATTTCAGTGGGTTACATTTCATACACTACTACTCTGCCCCTTTCCCCTTTCCCGACAGATTTAAGTCTCCCCCTGACTTGATTTTAGTAGTTCTGACTAGGGAAATGAACTTCTCCGGCCGGGACTGCAACCTCAAATTCTCGACTTTAAGGGTGATGGACTTTATTTTTTCGTTTCTCTATGTTCCCCCTATTTTCTGTATTCGATGAAAAAGCCTACGTGAGGCAAACGTTTCGGAATAAATTCCCTAATGTTGTTTTAGTTCTTACCCCCAACCTGTCGGTATGTTTTCATTTTGTTTTTTCTCTTGTCAGACACTGCAACACATAGCATCTTGTTTAAAAAAAACACCTTGAAAATTTTAAGTGAAATTGTGG